GCCGATGGGTGTCGCGGTGTTGGGTGCTGCCCGCTCCGGCTGGTGCCGGGGCATGGGGAAACTCGGCTGCACCCCTCCCACAATCCCGGAGATGTTTTTTTTTCTGCTCGCTGCCTTTTGAAAGGGAGGAAATGAGAGCGGGGCTGTCCCCAGGGAGGGTTTTGGCAGTGGGGGTAGCGTTTTCCCACCCCAACTCCTCTGGGTGCATCTCAGCGGGGCGGCTCAGCAGCATCAGCCCGAGCACTGGAGGGGTCCAGTGTTAGTAAAAAAAAAAAAAAAAAAAAATCAAGGTGAGGAATTAAAAGGCGCCAAAGCTTTTCTATTGAGTCGAGAGAAATTTGCCTGGTGCTAATGGAGCGGCTCTCAAACGCTGCCTGCTGGGGCTGGCGAGGCTGCTGCCATCCCCTTTGTGTTCCCTCCTTGAAATCGGTTTTGGCAGCATCGCGTGATCCTTCAGCAGGGAAGCGCCCGGCTCCGGGGCTGTGCCAGAGCGGGGATGCTGCCAGAGCCAAGGGCGGGAGCGTCCCCCAAAACCCGTGAGCATTAGGTGGGCAAAGCCAGTGCCTTTCTCTCCATCCTCTGCCCTTCCCCAGAAAATGAAAAGTCAGCACTCGGGTTCTCTCTCCAGCAGTGAGCATTAAGAAATCCTCTTGATTACAGTAAAAGCCTCTAAACTGCCCAGCGAGCAGTTCCCGAGTCAGACACCCCGACAGCAGAAGCAGCGGGGAAGGTAAAGGAACAGCTTGGAAGCAGCAGAAAGAATTAATATAGCGTTGCAAATGAAATTGCATCGCTCCGGCTTAATTACTGACGGCCCTGGGCTGCAGAGCTGTGACAGAGGTCCCGTCTCCCTGGGGAGCCGGGGCGGGGGGTGTATTTTGGGGCTGGGCTTTTGAGTCAGGCCAGTTTTGGGGCTCAGATTGGGGAGGACCTATGTTGTTTCTGGTCCAAGATCTCTGATGCCCATCCAAGACCTGTCCCGATGCTTCTTGTCTGTGATGCTTTCGCCTTCTGGCTGGCTGCGAGACCCCTGGCTGGGCTGGAAACGTCGGAGATGGCCAGTGCGTTTTGGTGAGGGATTTATTTGGGGTTCCTTGGGAGTCGAGGGCCAGGAGGTCTTGGAAAAAATGTGTCCTAAGTCATGTCTGAGCTGAGCACCTCCTCTGAGCAATTAACAGTGCTGCTGCCACGGGGATGTGCAGAGCACCCAGAGGCTGTGCAGACTCTCCCCTCCATGGATACGGGATAATCTGGATTTTCCAGCTGGGGACTGGTTTCCAAGGGGCTGGGAAGGGTGTTGCGGGTTTAAGTAGCTGCCACCGTGCCGGGACATCTCTGAGGAGCAGAGAAGCCGTTTGTGGCACCTGCAGAGCATGGGGCGTTCCGGGGAAGCCGGGGACTGTTGAAACGTGCCGCTGGGCTTCCTCGCCCACGCAAACCAGCCTGGGTCTGCTCGTAGAAAAACCCCAAGAAAGATTTTTGAGGGTGGGGTTTTTTTCGCTTTAACAGAAGCCGTTCTGGACCAAATGTCACTATAGATGCATGGATGGTATTTTAAAACGGGTAACGGTTGCGGTGAGGTTTTTCTTTCTGTTGTTTTTCAGCTCGATTTAAATCGAGGAGATGCAAAAAGTGCTCTAAACAGCCCCTTTCTGATGTGCAAATCTGGCTTGCAATACTTCATTCAAAAAACCCAAACCAAAACAAAACCAAAACACACACACAGAGGAAAAGAAAAAAAAACCAAAAAACCCAAACCTAAAAAAAGAGCCCACACGTGGGTGTGAAAGCACTGGAGGGCGATGGCAAAGCAGTTTCTGCAGCAAGAAATTTGCCTGTGGCGCTTCCCCATCCTGCCCAGCCCAACGGCCCCCACGGGGCTGTGCCCGGGGGACCCCACCGGCTGCCGCCTCCTCCGTCGCCCACCCGTGGGTGCTGCGGCAGGAGGGGGCTTGCACCCCTGGGTGCTCTCCCTGCTGGGACCAGCTCTGTCGCTCGCTGCGGGATGGTTTGGCTACGGCTCAGCTGGGCAAGGTGCAAACGAGCAAAACCGGATTGCTTCGTTAATTTGAATAGCAGATGATGTATCGCAACATGGCATGGCACGGCATGTCATGACATGGCTCCAGCTCGAAGGGCTTTTCTCACTTGCTCCCTTCCAGCTGCAAGGGATGATTCTGCAGGTGCCTGTTTAAGGCTTGTGGCTCGTTAAAAAGCTCATTAATACCAGATTAATGACTCAGCTGCCCTTTTCCTCTCCCGGCGGGGAGGGAGGGGGTGGCAAGTCCAAGGTGCCGTGGATTCATCTTCAAAGCGCCCCCGTGCCATCATCTGCACTGGGTCCAGCCGAGCTGTGGGATGGTGGGACATGGTGGGTGATGCCCAACTGGTGGATGAGGGATGGGGCAGGCCTCCGCCTCCGCCACCCTGTCCTGCGAGCTGCCTGTCCCATCACATCCTGCTGAGCCCTGCACGGGTCCCCCAGCCCCATCCATCCTGCTCTGCAGGGCTTTGGGGACCGGGAAGGTGACGATGGCTTTGGACACAGGGAAAGTGACGATGGCTTTCCCACGTGAGGGCGCCAGGGATGTGGGAAACGGGCACCTGGCTCCCTGCGGGGCATCCCCAAGTGCCACCTGCAATTCAGTCTTACTCCCTCGGTGTTGGGGTGCAGCAGGCGCCTCGCTGTCCCTGAGCCCCCCTGCAGGCTGGGGGCAGCGTGGGGGGACGAAGGGACCCAGGCAGCCTGGCTTGGTTACTTACTCCCTCTCCCAAGGCAGACATTGAGCTCTTTGGCTCTTGTGAGCATCTGCCATCCCCGATGGCACCTGACGCCCTCCTGGCTCTGGCTGTCCCCTGGCACCTGGTGACAGCTCACCAACCAGCTGGGCGTTAATTCCGGCATAAGCCTCTGTCTCTCCAACGTGGGTTTCTGTTGTCCCCCCTGGGGCAGGGCTGATCTCTTCCCGGGGCTCGACCTACCTGGGAGATGGAGAGGGGAGAGATGGGTCCTGCATCCCTTCCCCGGTGTCCTTCATCTCCCTTGGGTGTCTGCAGCGGCAAGGAGAGGGTGTCCCCTGGGTGCCACCATGTCCTTTCTCCCCAACAAGCCCTGTAGCCCCTGTGCTGGGATAGGAAGGACCAGGAAGAAGGTCACCTTGGAGGATGGCACGACACGTCTCCCTCGTAGCACTGCAACCTGCCTGGTCCTGCGTGGCCGCCCTGGTGGTTCCCCTCTCCAGGCACGGCACTGGCAGGGACCCTGCCGCCCCCATCCCAACCATCCCAGGGAGAAAACTGGGACACTTGTGTCTGTTCCTCGGCTGGCGGGCAGGCAGGCAGCTTCAGCCTCCCCCTGCCCAGCCTCATCCAGCAGCTCTGTGCTGCATCAACAGCCTAAAAATACATCAGCGGCCACTCACCTGCCCTGTGCCCTGCCTCCCCCTCCCCCTCCAGCCAAAGGGACAAGGAACAGCCCTTCTCTGCGTGCCCACACCGCCCCCCCCCCAGGGAAACTGTCCCCTGCCAGGGGGTTTGGGCTTGCTCTTTGCGGAGGGATGTCCCTGTCATCACACTGCCTGGTACCCAAGTGCCAGCGGGAGCTGCGGGTGCTCAGCACCCATCAGGATGCGCAGGTCACCCTGGGTCCCTGCATCCAGGGTTGGAGCTGGGTCACTGGGGGGGCTGGGAACAAGGTCCACGGCCGCTGTAACCCCCCCACATGCGTCTGCCTTCACCGGTGTCTTTCTCGTCCTAGTTCCCTTACGCTGCTCCACCTCCTCAGGAACCCGTGAAGACCCTCAGGAGCTTAATCAACATCCGCAAGGACACCCTGCGCCTCGTCAAGTGAGTCCACAGCCAGGGATCGATGGGGTTGGACACCCCATGGCTATGAACCACAGGGAAGGAAGGGTCCGGCTGGACGGTCCCAGGGGATGCTGAACATGGGGATGTGCTCATTTTGGCATGGGCCGATAGAGGGGACAAGCCATTGCTGGCCAAATGCGCCCCTTCCCTCCCGGCACGGGTGAGCTTCCCGCATGCGGGCACTGGCTGCGCTGGCTCCACCACGGGATTAAAGGAGCTTAGTGCTGCCTTTGAAGTGCTTTGCTTTTTCTTCCTCCCCCACCTTCCAAGGGCTTTGTTGGACGGAGGCTGGGGATTGCGGCCGGGCCAGGAGATTCGGGATTATGGCTGAAATCTGCCTGCAGCACTTCCCAAGCCTGCAGGGTTGACCTTGAGCATGCCGGGCCCTCCTGGCGTGCCTCAGTTTCCCCTGATGGAGGCGGCAGCCCTTTTTGGGGCCATCTGTGCCGAGGGGAACCTCGCACTGGGGGGGGACGGGACGGTCCTGGGGCACCCTGAGCCCTCCCTGATGGGTGCCCATCTCCCAAACCCTCCGTGCTCCCCAGGTGCTCGGAGGAGGTGAAGACCCCGGGGGAAGAAGTCAGCAAAGCCAAGGTGCACTACAATGTGGAGTTCACCTTCGACACGGACGCCCGGGTGGCCATAACCATCTACTACCAGGCGAGCGAGGAGTTTCACAACGGGGTGGCGAGGTGAGGAACCCCAGCCTGGTGTGTGTCCCACCCCCAGCCTGGCGTGTGTGCCCCCCCAGCCAGGGCACGGGGCTCTGCTGATGGAGACGGAGCCTCTCCTCCTGGAACATCTCCCCTCCTCGGGGCAGGAGGCAGCTGCTGGTGGTGCCGAGGTTGGAGGGGGGCTCCTTGCCTCCCCCTGGGTGCCACCTCCAGGTCCCTGCCCTCCTCCTTCCCCATCCCATCCTGCTCCCTCTTTTTATCTCCAGGTCGGAGCTGAGACCAGAAGAAATCATTGCCCCTCGTGGTCCCCACCAGGTTGGGGTTGTCCCTGTCCCCTTCTGTCCCACGTTGGCTGCCCTGGGGATATTTTAGCCCCGGGGATTAATTTAGTTTGGTTTAGGACTTCTTGCTTCATTCCCAAGGGACATCCAGGAGGGGAGGGGCAGAGTGACCCCCCCCTCTCCCATCTTCCTGGCATTCCTGACCAGGAGGAGCGTGGGGACACCCACGGTGCCCCTGACTCTCTCCTCTCTCCACGGAACAGCTACATCCCCAGGGACAACAGCCTGCAGTCGGAGACGGTACACTACAAGCGGGGGGTGTGCCAGCAGTTCTGCGTGCCCTCCCACACCGTCGACCCTTCCGAGTGGAGCGAGGAAGAGGTGGGTCCCTGTGGCATCAACCGCAGGGTCGAGTACGATTATGGAAGTGGGATGAAGTCTCCATCACTGCTGCATCTCACCAAGCATCTCCTCCTGTCTCTCTCCAGCTGAGCTTCGACCTGGACCGGGAGGTGTACCCCATGGTGGTGCACGCAGTGGTGGATGAAGGAGAGGGTGAGGAGGGGGTTCCTTGCTGGGTTGGGCTTTCCCGGTTGCTGGTACCACCGTAACAGCACTTGCACCAACCGGGCAGAGCCTCCGGCTTCTCCTTGCTGCCGCCATGGCCCCGCGTGTCCCCTCAGCCCTGCGTGTCCCTTTGTGTCTTGCAGAACACACCGGGCACTGCCATGTGCTGCTGGCCACCTTTGAGAAGGTAAGTGCCAAGCTGGGGGCTGTCCTCCCCGCTCCTACCCCCTCGCCCACTGTGTGCGAGAGCCTGGAGTAACCCCACGGAGCTCGGGATGGGTTGTTTTGGAGCCGCTCCTGAAATTCTGGGAATATCCCCCAAATCCTTGATTTGAAGCCCCCAGTTTTGAGGCATTTGGTCAACTCCATCTTCCTCGCTCCAACAAATCTCCAGCCTTGCAATGTGTGTGACATCCCACATTTGCCTGGTACCGGGGTGTCAGTGGGGGGCGGGGGGAACCAGAATTGCTGCAGAATGGGCTGGTTGGGAGCGAGGAGGGAGCGGTGACAGCTCTGGGGCGGGTGGGTGCTCAGCCCCGGCGCCCACCCGTGTGCTCTTCTTCCTCCAGCACAGCGACGGCACCTTCTGCGTGAAGCCCCTCAAGCAGAAGCAAGTGGTGAGTGTCTGAGTGTCCCCGCCGGTGGTGACAGGTACGGCCCTGCATGCCCCCGGAGGGGGGGGAAGGCAGCGAGGGGCTTTTTGGGGAGCAGCAGACCCCGGGGGTGGGCAGCAGCCTGCCCCTGCTCTGCCTCCCACGGAGCTTGGGGATCAGCGGCAATTTTAAGTGCATCAATGCAAAGAGAAACAGTGGATGTTGGGGTGAGGAGGGCTGGCCCGAGGAGGGGGCTGCGAGCTGCGGTGGTTGGGGGGCATGTTTCTGCTCCTCACCCCTTCCCCATGGGGTTGCAGGTGGATGGCGTGAGCTACCTCCTGCAGGAGATCTACGGCATCGAGAACAAGTACAACACGCAGGACTCCAAGGTACGCGCCTCCATCCCACAGGTGAAGGATGCATCCTTCCATGGGGTGTCTGATGGCTCCATCCCCATCTCTCAGCCTGCATCCCATGGGTCTTCCCTTGTCCCCCTCCCCCCTCCCCTTCCCCCAAGCACTGGTCCAGCAGCTGAAACGCACAGGGGGCGAGAGTTTGCAGCACCACACGGAGCTGCCTGGGGCGGTACAGGTTGTGTTGGCATCAAAGCTGCCAGAGGCAGAAGGCTGAAGGACTGAGCCTTTTTCCCCCCATCCCTTGTGGTGTCTTGGGAGCGTGGTGGCTGGATCTTGCTGGCTTAGGAGGGTACCGTGGGGCTCAAAGCGTGGGACATGCCTCCCCCTGTATTATACATATATGTAGAAGTTGGCGTGAAGGATGCGTCCCCCCATGGGGTGTCTGATGGCTCCATCCCCATCTCCCGGCCTCTGGGAGGGGAGGGATAAGGTCCCAGGGTTGTATTTCAAGAGTAGGGATGCAGGCAGGACCCCGCAGGGAGCTCTCAGGGCACCCAGCTGGTATTTCAGGGCACCTAGCCTCGTGCCACACGGGCTGGGGACCCCGAGGCCGAGCGGCTGCCATCTCTTCCATGGGGCAGGTGGCCGAAGACGAGGTGAGCGATAACAGCGCCGAGTGTGTCGTCTGCCTCTCGGATGTCCGCGACACCCTCATCCTGCCCTGCCGCCACCTCTGCCTCTGCAACACCTGCGCCGACACTCTGCGCTACCAGGCCAACAACTGCCCCATCTGCAGGCTGCGTAAGGACCCGGGGTGGCGGGTGGCATCTCTCGGGGGGAGAGGGGGAAAGCGTTGGCATCTCCAGAGAGGGCTGGTATCTCGGGGGGGTAGCTGGCATCTCAGAGGGGAGGGCTGACATCTCTTGGGTGGTGGCTGGCATCCCGGGGAGGACACTGGCATCTCCCCTCCTTGGGTTTTCGGGTCCCTCCAGCCCAGCACGCAGTGATGCCATGTGGGGATGCCCCTGATGGGATATGGGGTGGCATTCTGGCGGGGGGGGAATGTCTCCTTTCAGCACCTGGTTTTCACCCCACTCTTTGTCCCTGCTGCCGCAGCTTTCCGAGCCTTGCTTCAAATCCGAGCCATGAGGAAAAAGCTGGGTCCCCTCTCGCCCACCAGCTTCAACCCCATCATCGCTTCGCAGACCTCCGACTCTGAGGAGCACTCGGTCAGTGCCCGGACCACACGGGGGGCTGCGGGACCCCGGCCCCCTTCATCCCACTGGGACCGGGCTGGGGAGGTTTGGGGGAGCATGTGCTTCCCAGCGGCAGGGTTTATTTTTTTAATGCAAGTTGATCTTGCAAAAAAAAATATGCAAGTTTGATATTGCAAAAATAAGGGCTTTTGGTTGGGTGGAAAGACCACAGATCTGGGGCTTTCATCAGTGCAAGGAACTTCTCCATTCTCTGGGTTTTGGCTTCTCCCTGGGGCATCCTGATGCTGCTGGGGGCAGGCGCGGGGAGGGGGGCAGTGAAATGGCCCAGGAGGGACCCTCACCCCTTCTCCCCCCTCTCCCCAGTCCTCGGAGAACATTCCCCCAGGCTACGAGGTGGTGTCGCTGCTGGAGGCCCTCAACGGGCCACTGACGCCCTCGCCGGCCACCCTGCCACTGCGTGCGCTGGGGGACCCCCCGGGTGCGGGGACCCTTCCCTCCTATGGCAGCGATGGCCCCCTGCCCCCCCTGCGGGCGCTCTCGCCCCTCGATCGCCTCCCCGAGTGCGGTCCCCCAGGGCTCAAGCTGAAGAAGAGTCTCTCCAAGTGAGTACCAGGTTGGGCACAGGGGGTTCGGGGCTGTGGGCAGGGGTGATGCCCTCTGCTTTGTGTGTCGTGTCCCACCCCCCAGGTCAGTCTCGCAGAACTCCTCCATCCTGCCCGAAGAGGAGGATGAGAAGTCATGCACCGAGTCGGAGCTGAGGGTCTCCAGGAGGAGATCCCCTGCCCGGCGCGAGGAGGTGAGCACTCCGCAAAACGTGCTGCTGATGAGCTGAGGCACCGGTGGAACGGTGGGCTTGGGGGTGGCCCATGGTCTGGCCGGTGTTTGCCCCTCCTGGCTCTTCCTCCATCCGTAAGGATGCCAGGGGGAGATGGATGCATCCCTGCCAAATATCCCCCATCCTATCTTCCCCACGGGCCTTCTTCCAGGAATGTGGCGCAACGCCAGAGAGCGAAAACCTCACCCTGTCATCGTCAGGAGCCATCGACCAGTCCTCATGCACTGGGACCCCCCTCTCCTCCACCATCTCGTCCCCAGAAGGTATGGCATGGCGGAACTCGTGGGTTCTGGCAAGGCAGGAGAGTGGGATCAGTGGTCTCGGATCCGTCCTGCTGTGGGGGATGCGGAGGAGGTTTGCATGGTCCCTTCCTACCCTGCCATGGACATTGTGTGAAGCCCTAGGGTGCCACTTCTGCCTCACCACCCATAAACCTGAAGATGGGGGATGTAGGGGCATCCATTGCCCCTGCTTCATCACCCCATAGACCCAGAGATGGGGCGCTGTGAGCCCCGGGGACCCGCTCCTGGCAGCTTTCCACCCACCACACCTCCGTGGCGTGCAGCAGGTCCTTTCTCCATGCCCCGCTCCTCCTCATTAGCCCCGTTTTCATTTAGCCATGACTTATGCCAGTGGGCTGGGGGGGTCCAGTGGCCTCACTCAGCCCCTGCTCTCCCTCAGAGCCCGTCAGCAGCAGCTTGGCTCAGTCCGTCATGTCCATGGCCTCCTCCCAGAGCCAGCACTCCCAGCTCAGCACCGACACCGTGTCCTCCATGTCCGGCTCCTACGTCGCTCCTGGCACAGAGGAGGAGGAGGAGGAGGGGGACATGATCCCCTCACCCGCGGCCGCCAGTGCCACAGCCTCCGACGGAGAGGTAGGAGCTGGGGGGGGGAGTGTTGATGGTGCCCATTGCCCCCATGTTCATGAACTTCCCCATGGGGTGTAACTTCTCCTCTAAACCCACCGGCACCAGACTCTTTTTTTTTTTTTTTTTTTTTCCCCTTCCATCTTTTCCCCCTTCTTCCTGCAGTCGACACCTGTGGAGTCCCCGGATATAAACTTCGTCAGCATCTCGGCCGAGGAGCGCGATGCCGAGGTAACCTTAAATGCCCCGCTGGGGGCTGCGGTGCCACCCGGCGTGGTGGGGGGACCCTGGTTGTGGCCGGCTCCGGGTGCCTGCGGAGGGGGAGGCTGTCACCGCGTTCCCCCGGGGCTGGGCTGGGGAAGGGGCTGCCTACTCATCCACGTCCCTGCGGGGCTGCCCTGGGGATGGATGGGGCAGTGGGGCTGTCCCCTACCCAGGATCATCTTCCTGGTCCACGGAAACCCCCAGGGCCAGGGATGTTCCCCCAAAGGGATCCGGGGACAACTCCCAGCGTGGTGCTGGCATGCCGTGGGGCTGCTAATGCTCACTGTCTCTCGCCTGTGCCGCAGGGCAACGATGTGCTGGAGGACGAGGACGCCTCTCCCACACAGGAAGACGGTAAAAGGCCTCGGGGTCGTTGTCCCCTTCTCTTTCAGTTCACTGTCACCGGTGGGCAGCTGAGTGAGTGGCAGATGCTGTGCTGTCCCCAGGTCCCCTGCCTGCTGGCTGCCATCAGAGACAGCCCTGGGTGACTCTGTGGGTACCAGGGCCATGAAAGCATCCGTCACGGCGGGGCCACCCGTGGGTGGGTTGAACACCAGCGGGTGGGGGGAAGCCGTTGGCCACGGGGACCCCGGTGAGCCCAGTGCAGAGCGTGGAGCAGGCGACGGCTGGTGTGTAAGATCCTATGGTGTTTCCGATGGGCCAAGTGGGAAAGAGGCTTCTCTGATTTTTTTCCCCTCACCAAGAAGGTGTCTCTTCGCATCTTTGGAAGTCTCCCCCTTAGGGACCCCTGTCTGGGCTGGTTCCCATAGGAAGGGGCTGCAAAACTGTTCCCTTTGGGATGCTTTCCTATTTATTTTTTTTTGGCCCGTCCTCAATATGCCTTTGCAAACCAACACACACACATTGAGGGCTCCTCTTGTCTCCTCCTGTGGGCTCAAATAGTCAAGGAAAGACGTGGTCACCCCCGTGCCATCGGCTACCAGCCACCTTGGGTTTCTTTTGCATGATAGGGAGGCCCCCAGTGTGCTCCCTCCCACCTTTGCAAGTCTCTGGTTAGCAAAAATATGCCAAAATTGTTCCCCCGTCCCATCTGGACACTCAGCTGAGCTGGAAAGCAGGAAAACTCATCCCCAAAATGTGGCCTCTGCTCTGCAGGGAGGTTCTTGCTGATGGGGAGACTCAAGTATGACAACTGGGGAGCAACTGTTGGCTGTGGTGGACAGCCATGGGCACCCCAACAACTCCGGGAGCAGGACAGCCTTTCTCCTTAGGACACGGTCCCGTGCCCATTCTCAGCAGGGCTACTGGTTTATTTGGGAAACATCCCTCCCGAGGCTTAGTCGCCTGCGTCTGATGGATGCAGGTAACAGCCTGGGGGCTGATCTCTCGTACAGGTGATGCTAACAGCCCCGAAAGCCTCCATCCCCCCTGCAAAGCTTGGCTACGGCTTCTTTTGCCCCACGCATCCAGTTGCTGCCGCCTCCCGGCATCCCCGCGGCTCTCGCACATGCACCGATGGTGCCGGAGAGGCTCCGGCGGGAGGTGATGGGTACCACCATGGCCTGGCTCTACCGACCGGGGACCGCTCAGCCATGCCGGGGGGAAGGTTTGGATGAACCCCAGGCAGGTGGTGGGGGAGCAGGTTCACGCGTGCCGGTGCCCATCGTTGCTGTTTCGCTGCTCTCCGATGCGAGGAAAGGAGCAGCTCGGACTGTGCCCACGTGCGTTATTGTCCGCTCTTCACCCGCTCCCCTCTAGATGCATAGTTTTTTAATCTATTTTTTGGGGTTTTTTTAAGAGGTTGGGGAGGGGAGAGGAAAAGACACAGAAACCCCCCACACCACCACTAAAAGGCAACGGCAAGCCCCAGCGCCGAGCCGCGGCGTTAACTGCCTTAACTCCCTTCCAGGCCCGAGGACAGGCGCTTTCCTCGGTCTGAGGTGTGACAATAACAATGACTTGGGCATCGCACACGTGAAAGCGCTGGACAATAAACTGTGCTCTGAGGCCTGCTTACCTGGTGAGTGGCCGTCTGCTGAACATGAACTTGGGGTGGGGGGGACGGTTCCACTCTTCCCTGCTTCCACCCCGGCATCTCTTTGCATCCATCCCTCGTCTCCCACCACCGTCATCCCCAACCCCACCATCCCCCCCCCCACCATCACCATCCCCACCACATTGTCCTCACTTGCACCCCACCACCCGTCCCGCCGCGGGGCTGAGCACCAGGCACGTCACCACCCAGCAGCCATAGGTCAGGGTGACCTGTCCCTGTAGGGATGTCCCCAGGGGGCTGCAGACTTGCTTTGCTGGGAGGTCTTGTCCCTTGGCCAGGGGGCTGCTGGCACCCCGGGGGGCACCAGCCCTCCCTACGAAGGTGATTTTGTGGCATGACTGCAGCCTGGTCCAGCCTCGTGGTGGGTGCAGCAGTATTTTGGATTGGGATGTGATCTGCAAATGGGGCATATTGGGTCAGGTTGTCCTTCTGCAGAGCCCGCAAGTTCATCCCTCTTTCCCATTTCTTCATGTTTTCTCTCCCACCCTCCTTCATTCCTGTTTCTTCCCGCCCTCTCTCCATCCCTTTTTTCTCTTCTTCCTCCCTCCCAGGCTCCTCCATCCGCGGGAAAGTTCATGTTCGCTCTGTGCCAACACGGTTTTCTCAACCCACGCTTGTGTCCCCTCCCTGCCCAGAGTTGCCCAAAGGTGACAAATGTATTGGTGACCCCTGGTCCCTGCACAGGCCAAGTGGGGAGCTCACTGGGGACCCTGCCCAGCACTACTGGCTCCTCTCCATCAGCCTGGGGGGTGGAGTAAACAAGGCGGGGAAAAAAGCCATGATGAAGTCCTCTGAGGGTCCAGGTCTCCATCAATACATTTGTGGACAAGCTGAAAGCAACTCTGCCCCTGCCTTGCCCCTTTGGCTAAATTTGTGGCAGGTCCCAGACCCGCAGCGGGTATTGGAGAGCTGAGAGGGTGGGTGAAATCAGCCTGCCCCCCCCCACCTTCACCCGGGAGGGGAAAGTCCTTTCTCCCTCCCTTCTCCTCTGGCAAAGTTTCCTCTCCTGCTCCCTCGCTTCTTCCTGGTGGTTTCTGCACTGGAGAAACTCATCTGAGGCTCTTAGGGAGGAACAGGCGCCTGCCACAAATGCCCCATGTCCTCTCCATCACCCTCTGGCAGCAGCTGGCTGAGCCCCGCCGGCCCGGGAAGGGGGGTGAGGAGGGGGCTGGGGGGGTCTCAGCAGCTCCACTGCCTTTGCTGGGGGTCCTGACAAAGCATCCCCTGGCCGTGGCACCGGCCAAAGCCATCCCTGACTTCATCCCCCTTGGTTGTGCCGGGGGGAGGATGAGGAGGGAGGAAGCTTTGCAGCCCAAACGGTCCCGGCATGGGGTCACTCTTGCTGTGCTGCAAGGACCGCAACGGCCTCGTCCCCCGCCTGGTCCAGGGTGCAGAATGTGGCCCCCGGGACGAGCCCAGCCAAGGATGCGCTCTCCATCCTTTGGCCACCACCCGTGTCCGTGCGTCCGGCGGCTGTGCTGCTTGCAGCCCTCGGCAGGGACCCGCGCTGTCGCCCGCATGAGAGG